ACACACACATGCACACACATATATATACACACGCGCGCACACACACACATACATATACAAAGCGGATACTTTTCAAATATTTAAAGTTAGGCACTATAATATGATGTGTAAATTTTAAAATAAATCCATTAATTAATTATGCATTTGGCCAGAAGACAAAAGATAAAATAAATCCTATAATCTAACAACAATTAACTATATAATATGAAGCAAAAGAAATTACTATATATATGAAACCCCCAAAGGCGTCACCTAAATGTAAATTTTACAGCATCTTTTCACACTCACTTCTATAGTACTTCTGACTTCGACCCAGGGTTGTATTGCTAAAAGGATGTTTGGTAGAGGGATTTGTTCTCTGATTCGAATCATGATTCGTAGTTCGCTACAGTATTTTCTCTCACAAAAAATTTACGTAAATCAAAAATAGTTCAAATCACATGGTTTGAATTCTTCAACCAAACGTCCTCTAAAGCTTTACATTAAAAAAAAAAAAAGGAAAATTCTAATAAGTTAATAAATGTGTTAATTACGAGCTAGCGCCTAGATAGTATAATAGATATGATCGAAAATGGAACAATAATTCAGTTTGACAAATTGTAGCTTAGTAATTAATGGGTTATTCTTATCCAGTCCTTTTTCCAGTACACATATCCCCCACATTGGCAGCTTAATAATTAGTTTGAACTGTGCATGCGTGTGTGAAGAGAAGAGAGAGAGAGAGAGAATATAAGGGCAACACGACACATATGGCTGTTCAAGACTAGTACTAGTTGTATTATTCCATATATATAGCCAACAAGCCAAGCATATAGACAACCTTAAGAAGATGGAATAGAATATTTTCCAGGAAACATTAATAATAATAATATTATTCCATTTTGCGTTTACCTGTTGACCAAATTACAAACACATACCGTGTGCCAAGCACCAAAAAAACGCAAAACCCTGCAGCTTCACTATTACCATTTACCAACAGCTCAGTACGGATCGGAATCATCGATCACAAAGAGGAGAAATTATCAACAGAGCTAATTATTGTTTGTAAGAAAAGAAAGAAGGAATTTTTTGGAATATTATTTTAAATGGAAGGAGAAAGAGTGCCCGGCTACGATCTTCAGGTCTCGGCCTTCTCCGCTGCTACTCCGGCGACGGTTCCGATCCACGAAATGGGGTTTGTGCAATTTGAAGATCATGATCATCACAGTACCCACAACGTCTTGAGCTTCTTGTCGCCGGCCTCTCAGCCATCCACGGCGGCCGCCCAATTGTCGTCGTCGTCGACTCAGCTGCCTCTCAACGGTACTACTGCCGCCACCGCCACCGATAACACGAACGCCGCCTCCATGGGGTTCTGCCATGGCGACCTCGTTTCAAGACCAGCTTCTTGGAATAACGAACAAGTACTGGTGATTCATATGCTAGCTGTTCCTAATAACTCTAATTTTATCAAAACAAGTACTACTGGTTTATTAATAAGATAACTGAAGACCAATACTTACTAGTTTAATTGTGTTTATGATATATATAATCATATGTTATTGCTAGTTTTTTTGGATTTATTTTTTTTCCATGTTATAGTACAAACCCTTAAGTAAGTTTTGTGGTTGTATCTACCATTAATTAATTTTTTTTATTAATTTTTTTTTTTGGCAGATGGGGACTTTGGATCCAAAGGCTGTTAATGAGGAAAATTGCACCGGTAATGCTAGCGATGGAAGCAATTCATGGTATTAATAGTCGTTACTCAATTTATGACCATGCGAGCTACTTGATCTTCTCTCTCCCCTAATTTCGACATAAAAAAACGGAAACACATGCAAATATGCACAAAGAGGGCACGGATTTCAAGAATATACTCCTTTTTTGTACACGTTTCTTCCAACAAAATCTAAGATGGAGATTCTGCAGCCATAATATATGGAAGAGAAGAATCTATATGTGATTTTTCAAAGACCATACTCTTTTGGGGTTGTACGGGAAAGGGCTGTAGAGAACAACTCAGACACAGCAAACACTTTGATTGATATGTAATACTCACCTATATATCGATCTACACAAAATGTATACATGGGGTTAATTTGTCCAATTCTCAAAAAGAAACAAAAAAAAAAAAATAGGATAGGAGTTTTCAAATAAATAATTTAGAGAGATTAATTATATTAATTAAGTAGTAGTGGGATCTTGGAAATATGGTTTATCACGATTGATTAATGTATTTGGGCAGGTGGAGGAGCTCAAGCGCAGATAAAAGCAAGGTGAAGGTGAGAAGAAAGCTGAGGGAGCCAAGGTTTTGCTTCCAAACCAGAAGTGATGTGGATGTGCTTGATGATGGTTACAAGTGGAGGAAATATGGACAGAAAGTTGTCAAAAATAGTCTTCACCCAAGGTACCTACTTAATTAATTAGTTTATCCTTAATTAGTTACCATTTCATTTTATATGCTCATAAATTCATGCAAAATATGTTTTAAATAATATGCATATAAGTTGTAGTGGGCAACATGAGTAGTTTGGAACTAACGTTTTGATCCAACTAGCTGAAATGAGTTTGTCCATGATATATTTACTTTTCAGAATGATTTTCTACCTTAGCGATTTAACATATATATATATATATATATATATTCAAAAGTCAAGACATATTTTGAGATCAGAGAGGGAGCATGCATCCAAGTATTATAGACAAGATTTTCATTCAAAAGACTGCATAATGCAGAAAAAAAAAAAACCAATGAAATAATGAATTTCTACCTCCATAAAATTATATTTATTTAATTAAAAACCAATCTAGTTTCAAAAACAATCTAGGTTAAATAGATGTTTAAATCAAAGAATCAAGAGATAGATGTTAAATCAAAGGATAATGTGCCAGAAAGATGATAAGAAGTCTTTTTTTTTCTTTCATTCTTTTTAAATTTGAGAATAGGATGATTTGAACTCTACTCCTTGTGATGATATCAGATGCATCTTTAATACTAAAGTTATATCTACAACCACAGAGCTATCTTAAAATTCAGCTGAGCTCTTGAAGGATGTTAGGAGGCGTAAGATTATATTATCCCATTGTAACCCAACTCAAATTAGAATAAGGTCAAATGGTTATACTGATCATGTTAATCGATCGTGGAAAAAAGTAAATTAATATTCTAAGTATGAGTATTTAAAAACAATGAGCGTTAATACTTGAAAGAGTCCATCATTTCCCCTTTTTATATTATCTCCCCGTTAGAATTATTACTCGAAGAAAGCTTCAATAACACAAAAGAGCAAGAAATCTACAGTGATCAGCGGCGTCTCGAAAAGACATCAGTACATTTTGCTTCGTTGGCTGATTTAAATGGCGGTTCTGAAACTGTTTTTTGAAGTTTTCAAAACCAAAACAGGAAAAAAAATATATATATATAATATCGGGAGCTTCAAACAAAATAAATTGACGTGTATATACGTAGAAACATGAGACGTACGTTTCATGTAGCTATCTGGATAAGATCATGTAAAGATCTCAGGAGATATTAATCAATTTTGTTTGCTAAACAAAGAAAGAAACATCTAATCAAAAGCTTGCTTTGTGTGTGCGTGTATTTTGGACATATCTTGGCTTCAATTATTGCCGTTTAGAATTAAGATTAAGAACTTCGATTTTTTGTCATATATATATAACATTCGATGGGTATCTCACAGGAGGAATAAGAATAATTGTTAAAGTTTTTTGAAACCGTAGATTTAAGTAGAGTCTTGTTCTGGCCGTTCGATTTTAATATACGTCTAATAGAATCTCATATAATCTGACTCATAAAAAAGTTCCTCTAAGATTTCAAACTTGGTAAAACAAAAAAAAATGAAATATTAGACAATAATTAAGGAATCTTGTAGGGTTCATGATTTTGCCTATATGCATATATGTATATGTGTGTGTATATATATATATATATATATTCTCAAGAATATAGCTGATATATTGTTGATTTATAATTAGTACTTGTCATTAACTAGATAGATAGCCCGTACATGTGTGGTTGTTAATTATTCCACTTTTTGGGCTGTTAATTAAGGACTTCTCTCTCACATTCCATCTAACCTAAGAAAAATATTATGCATGTCTCCCAACCATGACTTTAATAGTGTACGTATTGTCTATATATATAGCTAGCTTCTAAAACCTATTTTGGGAATACTATCAAGCACTTTGAACTTTGAAGTTTGATTTAGATAAAGCAGTACTAAACAGATTTTTTAATCAAATTTAACAAATTTTTTAAGCTTTAGTATAATCGATTGGTGGAAATATATTTATATATATATATAGGTATATCTATCACATGACTGGGATGTATGACCTTACCTTTTTCCACTATATTATTGAAGTTTTCAATTGTTAATTGGATATGAATTATTAATCATGATGAAAGTATAACTACAAGTTATCATAATCTCTTGTTTTTTTTTTTTTTTATTGATAACCAATCTTTTCATTTTGTTAAGCTCTTATTTCTTCGTTTCCAAAGGTACCGAATGGCATAGTTCGATTAGATCTTGTATCAGTATTGATAGGGGTATTGTACCTATATTTGCTATGACTAGCTTCTTCATCTGTCTATGTTCTTTGTATGATCTTCCTCTTCTATATTTGGTTTGCTTCTCTCTCTCTCTCTCTCTCTCTCTCTCTCTCTCTCTCTCTACTGATGATGAAATATGTTAGGTGACTACCCATCTCAAAGTTTGAAATTCCCTAGTACTGGTCCTATTACTTCTGATCATCTAGTGAATTAAGGGTCGAATTAAAAAATTATTTTCATATATTTATTTCACGAAATCATTCTGCTGCCATACATAAATGTCTGTATTTTAGTTTCATTTCGATTTGGATAAATTTTCCCTCCAAAACTTGATAATCACTCATTAACATATCACATATGTATATCATGTATGTACATATCATATAGACATATCCATAAACTAGTTTATTTGATTTTTTTTTTCATACTTTATATGATCACTGACATCATACTTCATGTTTTCGTTTGACCTAATGGCAGGAGTTATTACCGTTGTACTCATAATAACTGTCGGGTGAAGAAGAGAGTTGAACGACTCTCCGAGGATTGTCGTATGGTGATAACAACCTACGAAGGCAGACACAACCACTCTCCTTCTGATGACTCAAATTCCTCTGAACATGAATGCTTCAGCTCTTTCTAATTAATGTAAAATCAACTACAACAAGAATTTTTCTTGTAATATTATTCACAATGTAGTATTGTAGCTTAAGACGGTCTCTGTAAAATTGATATTTTAGAGTGATTGCCATCATCACAAGTTTCTAAAACTTGTACCTTTTAAGTTTCTAAAACTTTATTTTCAAAAAAAAAAAAAAAAAAAAAAAAAACGTTTCTAAAAATTCTAGCTTTTAGTGTAATTACAATATTAATTGGTAGCCTTGGCTCTTCGAGATACAATTTAATATATATCTATCTATATATATATATATATAGATATATGCTGCAAGTAAATATTTTTGGGCAAACATAAAAATAATAATGATACACATATATAGCCAACTAGGTTGGGGTGTTTTTAGAGCATGATATCAGTTGTGGCCCACGTGCAAAGGAGATCTTTCTCCTCTGCGGGAAGAGAGATCTCTCTCACCATGGCCACAATGCGGGGAGATCCGTTTGAGATCTCCTTCGCTTCGCGTCACGGCCAATCTCCACCACGATGTAGCTTTCCTCCATGAGTGGTTAATTAACGTGCATTTTTTCTGATTTTTTTGATGGATTCCTTTTTCTTATCTGTTTCTAGTGTTTGAAATTTATGTATTTTTGTGTTTTTTAAGTGTTTGTGCAACGACGATGGTTGTGGATATCTCGTTATGGCAGGTTATTAGCCAGTATTCACAGCGGATACCAACTAGTATGGCGGCCGGCTACTGGTATTCGCGACAGATACTAGACTGTTACTGTTATTCACAACGGATACTGGCATCCTAAAATCATATTTGCTATTCTAAATATAATTCGATGACGTAGTAATGGTATTATGAGTAGATATTTTATTCTCTGGTATAAGTCTATTCAAACTTAAGTTTGTAGGGGTTGTTCTTTCGCATTTTTGAGTTAGGGTGATTTGAATGATGATTTTGAGTTGAATTTGAGTTATAACTTAATTGAAGTTGTAACTTCGAGTTTGTGTTTAAACGTGCATATTTGAGTTATGATTTGAATTGAGAATCTTTTTCAATTTGTGTTTGGGTGAGTCAAAACTTAAATTTGTATTTAGATAGTATTTTAATAAAAACTCAATGGTGATGAAAAATTTTAATAGGGTACATGGATGGGATTTTATTCGTCTTTTCGTTGTGAATGCATAGAAAATAAATCATCTCAATAAGAATTTAAATGAAAAAGTTATGACATATTTAAGAATAGAAAAAATAATGTTCATTAACATGAGTTCGAGTTTATGAACTTGAGTTTAAGGAAAAACTTGAACTCGAGTTTAGCCCCAAACTCGAGTTCAAACTCAAGTTTTACAAAAAAAACATGAACTTGAATAAAGTTGTAACTCGAGTTCAAACTTTTTCTGAATTTTGTTGCAAAAAAATAACCCTGTAGTGTTCTTTTAAACCCGAGCTCAGCCTGTGCGGTTTTTTAAGGTTTTTTTTTCTCTGTTTGAAAAATTATATTAGCTGGGCTACAGGATGAGCCCTATTTGTCTCTCCAACAACCGACCTGCCCTATTTTCTTTCATGAACCATAAACGTCGGGCCAAGCTGGCCGATTTTATAAGGGTAATCTTGACAAATATTCATGAAAGTGCATGAGTCAATATTTTTATCTCTTACTTTTGATTTATAATTTTTTTAGTCAAATAATTACATTAACAAAAGGATATTTATCAATAATAAAAAATAAAAGTCCAGACTCATACATTCTCCAAAAATAAATTCTTCATTTTTTCTTTTTACAACTCTGCCATAATAGTGGTGTTCAAAACATTATTCGTGCACCCATTATAAATCTTTAGGCTTAGAGCTTAAAAGTACATAGGAAAGCGAGTAGACCAATAATAAAATAGTGAAAAGGGAACAGGAAAAATAATGGGCTTGTTTAGATTTGTTTCAAAATAATTTTGTTCTTTATATGAAAATAAAAAAAAAATATTTTCAATCTCAGACAGCAATTATTTTTAAAAATATGTTTAGTAGTTTTATTAAGAGATTATTTTCAGTGTAAAAAAATCTATTAATGTCTCTCTTTCTCTCTCTCTGTTCGAGAGAGGAGAAAACGAAAATAAAAAATGAAAAACAACTAAAAGTCGTTTTTCATTTCTCTCTCATTTTACACTAAATCAAAAAATCGTTTTCATTTCTGCTTTTTGTCTTTATTGTGCCAAACGTTGTTTTGGAAACGTTTTTATTTTTTCTTTCTCAAAAAACATAAAAAATAAAAATGAGATCAATTCCAAACACGGCCAATGAGTGGATAAGGTTTTTTATTGATATTATTATTATTTTTTTTTTTTACTTTTTCTTATTAATCTGAATTTAAGGATAAAAGACTTTATAGCAAATGAAAGTGAGATGTATCCAAAAAAAAAAAAAAAAAAGATAAGAAGTGGTAAAAACTAACCAACTCTTCTTAAAACTGGTACACAACCTAGTTAACTCAATGATTGACCAATTGATCTATAGATTGCAAGCATTAGAACTGACTTTAAAGACCTTCAAGTCTAGGACCAAGCAAATACATCACTAAATCATTGTATGATTCATTCAACTTCGAACATATCTAATAGTTGGAATCCTCATTTCTCTTTGCAGGATCAAGTATAAGTTTGAATCGTACGCCAACTGAGGTTGCTTTATACGTACATAACATATTAATATATATTGTGAAAAACTGAACTTTATATATGAATGTAAACGGTCTAGTCCAGTTTAGACTATGCCTCAAATTTTATAAATAGGACAAGATCATTTTGTTTTTTTAAAGTCTGGTAAAGATCATTTTTTCTTTTTTCCAGGTTTATCCGTTATACCCATATTTGCCTCTAGTCCATTTGGAATAGAAGAACGCTTATAGTTGTGCTATTATGTTATGCTTCTTAGTTTGATAAAGTGACTTTAAGTTGTCATTCATTTGATGGATAATGCTCCTCCAATGCCCTTTTAGATATACATGGTAGATTGTACTTGTATGAACTATTGTAAGGCAAACATTATATACAAAAATTATAATACAATGCATAAATGCTAGCAGAAATGCAGGATGAAGGCTTAGAGTTGTCACGTCAGTGTTTGTCAGTGCGCTTGTATGATAGAGACCAAACGATGACTAGATTAATGCGATGACACATAAAGTCACAACAGATATATGCACTTGAAGAAGATGATGACAATGTATTGATATTTGGTTTGAGGAAGAGTACGAGTAGCAAGAGACTGATTATGGACATTCGACTTTTGTTGTTGATTTTCATTTGGACCCTTCTATAAATAAATGCCTTTGAATTCTATGACTTGCATTTTCTACTTACTATTCTGTGCAAGATTGTGCGTTTGTATTACCATACTATTTTGCTATAAGTCCAGAACTTTGGTGTGTTTGTTTGGACTCTACATTTTGGTTTGGAACTTTTTGAATTTGGGGTTTGGAACTGTGGTTTTGAACATTGGTTTGTATGTTTGAGCTTTGTACTTTATTATTGTTTACTGACTTTGCTTTGGAACTCCTTGAACTTTGTGGTTTGGAACTTTGGTATGTATGTTTGAGCTTTGGACTTTATTATTATTGCTAATTACAAAGGCTTGGAACTCTTAGAGCTTTGTGGTTCTATGCGGTTTGGAAAATTACAAAAAAAAAAAAAAAAAAAAGCTGGTCAGTGATTTTGCGACAAGGGGTCGTTTTTGGAACGTTATAAAACACAGTGAACAAGTTGGACGCCATATATGAAAACACAAGGTAGAGTACGACATTTCAAACAAACGGGACAAGTTTTTGCAATTATTAAGGTGCAATGTAGACATTCATTAACTCCATAGGACTAACAACTTGAGTGAAGCCATAGAGGAGGTCATGCTTACGGAGTAGGCAAAGGAGGGAAGGGGGGCTCGGATAGCATTCGATCTATGAAATCTGGTCAACAGCGAAAAAGAATGGTGAAGTTACTGGTATAGGATAAAGATGCTCAAAATGGGTTAAGTGAATCGCTATTGAAATGGAATATAACTATACACACACACAAATACAAACCAAAGAAGGGGGTAAAAAATGGCCAAGGAATGGCAAGCTTTGCGGGCTACCCCCGGACTCGGACAACTCTTACTGCACACTTTCTAAACTTCCTAGTCTGCTCTGCTTTATATTTCACTTGATACACCAGAGGATATCCAGTAAGTAGCAGAAACATGCTTTTAATAAATCAAAGCCCACCATGTACGACAAGAAATAAGATTTTCACACTGCAAACCGCAATGATATTGATATCTGTAGGTTTCTTATTAATACACTCATCACCAAGATGAACTAACCATCAATGCAATAAGTTTAGGACGATGCATATAAGCACCCAACAAAACAGACAAGACCTAGCTAAATTTGGTCTCAAAATTCTAATAACTTAACAAAGCGCGGTCATAACAGGAGAGTGAAACCGGACAAAGTTTACTCATAGATCCATGGGTGAGCGTTGCTCTGCCAGTTAACAGTCCCTTCAGGGAACCACAGTGCAATCTCTTTCCTAGCACTCTCAACTGAGTCACTTCCATGAATAACGTTCCTGTTCATCAATAGAAATTTCATTGTCAGGCACACTCATTCCGGACAAATACTTTCAGAAGCACAATAATTGAGCATAACAATCTGCTCTAATCTAGTTTCTACTTTCTATTCTATATCCATCTTGAGTGACAATAAATTTCAAAAGATATGCTCAAACAACCAACTTTTTAGAACAATAAGGCATTAGAACATTACTAAATAGAAAATGCTAATTTAACCGGTAGGATAAGCTTGACATTTACGCCAATATTAGAAAACATACTTATTAGCCTAAAGTAAATCCTTCCACGACAATAAAAGAATATACAACCATACTGTGGTAACAAATAGATTGAAAATCATTATACAAAACGTAAGCACAAAATTTTCAATTGATCAGATTATAAATAAAAGAAAGTAAATTACCTGCCAATGTCAATTGCAAAATCACCACGAATGGTTCCAGGGGCAGACTCTGCAGGATTTGTTGCTCCAATAATCTTCCTACCGGTAGTCACAACACCCTTACCCTCCCAGACCATAGCAACAACAGGGCCAGAAATAATGTAATCAACCAACCCATTGAAAAAGGGTTTTGCAGAAAGGTCAGCATAGTGCTTCTCAGCTAAGGCACGGTCAACAGTTATGATCTTCAAACCTAAAACAAATCAAGTACTCAACTTAAAAGAAGGAAATAACTGATGAAACCGAACCTCTTTCCATGAACTTACTTGTAATCCCGTTCATAAGATCTATTTGAAAATTTCAGCACGCGAACTTTGAAACATTGTTAAAAAAAAACACAATATACAATATAATCACCGGATTTTGTATTTTATTTTAGACTTTAGGATATGATTTTCCATGATCTTGTGCACACAATACTGAAACGATCAATCTCCATTTTCGCATATGGTTTGTCATGTAAAATAAGCAAACAGCTATACATCAAATCTATAAGAAAAAGTTACATAACTCAAAATATTCCTTTTTGAAACAGAGTAAACAGTATACAACATTCACCTCTCAAAAAGAATCCCTTCTGCTCGAACCTGCTAATGATGTTACCAACCTAAAAAACGAGAAGGGACAGTAAAGTTAGAGAATTGAACATGGTATCAAATAATGAGTGCATAATGCTCAAAAGAATTGGAGAAAGATCTTGCAGATGTACCGACTAGTTTTGTGAAGCCTAAATCATATGTTTTAGTTTCAGATTTAACGCGAAATACCTAAAAATCCAAACGATTTTTTCTTTTCTATATAATAGACAAATAATCCTAAACTAAACACGTCAACTCGCTTTAGATTTGGTGAGAAATCATTTCTTCCGTGGGCCCACCAAAAAGGGAAATTTCCCGACAACCAAACAGCAAATCTCTAGAAATTATGAGAAAATAAATCCACAAAAATAAATCTAGAAATCTCCGAAATTGCAAAGCACTAAAGCTAAAACCATCTAAACGAGAAAACAGGAGGAAGGAAAAAAGGAAGACGACATACAAGGCCTCTTTGGACACCATCGGGCTTGATCATGATGTAAGTTTGCTCCATTTTTGCCTGTGAAGGTCTCCGAACTACGCAGAAGCAGTGAAATATTGTGAGAGCGTAGTGAGAGACTGACGAAATGAGTGTGAGAGAAGAAGAGTATATATATATACGCTATAATTTGGAAGGCAATGAAACCCTAACCCTATTCGCTACGGAATATTCGCTGGGATTTTTCCTCTTTTTTTTTTTTTTTTTTTTTTTTTTTTGGCGTGGAAACGTTGAGCAAAAGTTCCACCACCAAAGTAAAGTTATTAAAAAAAAATAAAAAATGGACGGCTGTAAAAGGGTGATCTTTATTTTCTCTAAAAGAAAAAGGCAATTTTAATGGTAGAACAGGTTTTTGACCGTATGAGTAGGTAAGGTTTACAAGAGTCATGTTAAAAATTTGAAATGCGTAACATAAAAATATTTTAATCACAAATTCAATAATTAAAAAATTAATTTAACAATTAAAACAATACCCAATAAATATACAATTTCTTTTGGGAAAATGATTTGTGGCCACTAGTAATCTTTACCTGGTCAATTAGATCTGGCCAAATCAGTCATTGAATAATTATGGATTGATATTAGTTAAACACTAATTAATATTGATTTAAGTAGTGATTGACCAGATAGTTAATCACTAAGCAATTAATTCCTAGTTGAGGATTTAAAAAAGAAAAAAAAAAGTTTGGTTTGTTGAACAAGGATTTTTGAAGCTTGTTACTAAAGTCAAGTGTGGAAAGAAAAGAAGTATGAGTGGAGTGGAAAGGAGGGTGACGGCTCACCAGTGCACTTATCCTTGCTATTCCATGAGATGAATGGAAGTTTGTCATCTATAGCGATGCATCAAAATGAGATGGGGAACTCGCAGTTGTAGTGTTCACTCTAAAGAACTGGAGAGACTGCCTTTATGGGGCTCAATGTCAGATGTTTGTGGACTACACGAGTCTGAAATACATTACCAGTGTGAGGTGAATAACCAGAGGATTTCCAATAATATAGTATTAATGCGTACGGTTTTCTACGTTGAACCAAAAAGAAACACAGGATTTCCATTAATTATCTCCATAACCAGTATGAGCCTGTGAATAAACCTATAACCATTAGTCTAAGAAACATTCTTCAATATACGGGTAGAATTAGTTTTCAAAATCATAGGACTTCCTAAAGACCCAGAAATGAAAAACATTCCGCATTCCTATGATTTGGTATCACAACATATTGACATGCTGCATCTTGTTTTCGACCTCGTACTGAAATTAAAACCCAAATGAAATCCGCACAGAACTTTTGGCCTTACAAACTCAGGAAGCTGAACCTCTTTTTTCCGAGAAGCAATCAGAGACTCAGAGTATGCTGACTAGAAGCCAGTTTTGTCAAGAAGTGCCTTAATCATGTACAAACACCATCGAGTTAGAAATAGAAGCGTTTCGAGCTGTCTTGAAACTTTCAGGGACATCAATACTACCGAGAAAGAAGGCTGTATGAAAGCAAGTCTTCAAGCCATAGCAGATCTTCATTCAGAAGCTCCATTTCAAGCTGTCAATGTGTGGGCATTCATCACCGTCTGTTGAAATCACAATAAAACAGGGGAAACATAGATCACTATAAAAGATAACAGCACAAGATACCTAGAAAAATCTATAAGATCCCCTCAACAATTTGTATATCCAGATCAATCATGATTTAGTTGCACTATTTTCACGAGGCAGCATAAGTTGGCCGGAGTAGTATTTCCGTCTATCAGTCATTGCACATAAAAGTATGGCTAATATTTTGGTCAATGTCACTGTTCATCAATCTCTAAAGGGAAACTTGGAACTTGGGCAGCACATGCATTACAATCCATATATGATGCACGCATAGTGAACCATTGATGGTCCATCAGCTTGAATGCCATGCAATATAGGAGGTCAAATGTTAACTCATTATCTGTAATGCAAGAGAAGAATGAACAAAATCATTAACTTAATAAAAAGGTCCTTGATCATAAAGTCGGAAAATAGAGCATTTGCACTGTTGGGTCTCCTCTAGTAAATACAAAACACAAACAATTGAAATACTACACTTGTGATCAAGCAACTGGATAAGCAACACCAACAAACCTGCTTCAAGATCAAGCATCTGGATAAGCATGAACTTGATGTTTCATACCAGCCACAGAAACGGGTATTTTCACACTGATCAATCACCTTCCTGCTTTAGCAGGAGATCCTGGAAGGATTTCGACATCCAAAGAATTGGTATTTTAGTACATATAGAACGTAGTGCAGATACCATATTACAGTTCCAAAATACATAATTAATGCGAAGAGTGTTAGACACGTAAATTCAGACACACTAGAAGTTTTGCATTAGCTAATGCCAAACGTATTAGAAAATGGAACACATTCGCATAATCTTTATTGCAATTAAGCTCTCAAGCCCTCAGTTTGCAGGATATTTATTATTCTTCTTTAGTAATTCTGTGAGAAATCTTATAATTTACCAAACAATTCAACCTTGCGATACCACAAACTACTAGCCATAACCTTTTAATTTGTAGAAAAGGTGAGCATTGTTTTCATTTAAGTCTTTACAGATGTGTTACTGAACTTAGATAAATTACATCCTAGAGAAATAATGAACTGGAATCCAAAATAACTACTGACAAAGGTTGTGTGTAGGGAAAGAGATGTGAACAATAATACGAAACTGCAAAGAACATACCGGAAAATTACAATAGATATATACATTTGAGCTCAGAACGATCCTAATTGTACAATTATGGAGGTAATGAATTTCAACACCAGGATGAAGATTCCTCGGCTACTTCCTTAAGATAAAGAAGAACTCAGTTGCATATATCTTTGAGCAGCCTCCACACGACCAAATCGTGTAAGACTTCCTTAAGATAAAGAAGAACTCAGTTGCATATATCTTTGAGCAGCCTCCACACGACCAAAACGTGTAAGAAGTCCGATGATTAAAGAGTACTGCTCTTCAGAGGCCTTGACATTATAACTACGCGTCATTAGGTTAAAGATCCGGCAGGCATCATCCACAAAACCAGCTTCATTGCATATAGAAAGAGCAACTTGGAAAGTGAAATTGTTTGGGGTAAAACCTTTATCTCTCATCTCATAAAAGAGATCGATAGCATCTTCATATAGTCCATTATCCCTATAAGCCTCTATAATTGCAGTCCATGTCATTGAACCCTTCACCCGGATTGTGTCGAAAACCAACTTAGCATCATCAATTACTCCACAACGCCCATACATCTTAACAATTTCTGCGGAGACAAAATGGACCGACTCAAAATTTCTCTTCAGGACCTGTCCGTGAATCTCCTTTCCAAACTTCAAGCTTTTCAGTTCATTGCAAATACATAGCATCCTTCCTATTGCTACGGAATCAGGCCTATGCTTGGATAACACCATAGATCTAATCACAGAAAGTGCCTCATCTAGATGTCTGTTTTCAACATAGGAATCAATCATGGCTGTCCATAAGATCACATTCCTCTGCTCCATACCTTCAAACAATCTTACAGAATAATCCAATACGCCACATTTTGAATACATCATCATCAAGGAAGAGACTATAGACACATTGGGCAAGAAACAATTCTTCACAGCATAAGCATGAATCTCTTTACCTGGTTTCAAAGCCCTCAGCTCTGCGCAAATCGGAACTACAGTGGCAACTGTTACAACATCAGGCCTAATCCCTTCCTGCTGCATCCAAATAATCGATCTCAAAGCCTGCTCGAGCCTCCCATTCGCTACATAGCCCGAGATCAAAGCGGTCCAACAAATAGCATTCCTTTCCTTCAAGCGATAAAAGACCCGTCTTCCATTCTCCATGTCCCCGCACTTGCAATACATATCAATTAACCCAGACTGAATAAATGTCTGCTTCGCGTAACGCTTTGTCTTCACTGCGTAAGCATGAACTTCTCTGCCCAGCTTCCGGGCCAAAAGTTCTCCTATCACAGGAAGAATAATAGTCAATATAACAGAATTCAGCTTTATCCCTTCATCTACCATCCGTCTGGTGTAGTCTAAAGCCTGCCATTGCAGCCTATTGTGCGCGAAACCAGAAATCATTGCTCCCCAAGCAACAATATCTCGTTCGACAATTTCTTCAAACACCTGCCGAGCAAGCTTAATCTTACCACATTTGAAGTACATATCAATCAAGCTCGTCCGCAGCATTGCACTACCGACAAGACCATTCTTAATCAAGAGGGCATGAGTTTTCAAGCCTTGCAAAAGCGCTGACGCACCCGCTAAGCTTTTGATAACACTGGAGAAACTATAAACATTCATTTCAATCCCCAAGGCCCGCATTTGATAATACGTAGAAAGCGCGTCCCGGTATCTCCTCCCACCAGAAATCACATTCCCTCTAAGCAGCGCATTCCAGGGGTACACACTCCTGCTAGGACTTTCGTCAAACAGGTTGTTGGCATCGTCAACCGAGCCACAGGAAGTATACATATGAACAAGTTTTGTACGCAAAAACTCGTTTTTGTCGAGTCCATTGATCCGGATAAACGCGTGAACTTGCTTCCCGTGGTCCAGCGACTTTGTACGGACGCATGCAGCGATGAGAGCGGCGAAGGTCGTGGGGTTGACGGGAATTCCTTGCTGGTCCATGTAGTCGAGGATGGTGAGAGCCTGGGAGAGCTTGTTTTGCCTTGCGAATCGCTGAATGTCGCTGTAGACGGCGCGCGGGTTCTTGCTGTGGAGCGGCAGGGACTCCGGAAACGCGTCCTTCTTGGTGAAAACCGGGCGTTTCCTTCGGCGCTTTCCCGGCGATGCTGGCGTTCGGGTTCGCCGAAGCATGTGAAGCGTTGTCTATTCTATGGAGTTTTAAGAGCAGCAGCAGCAACAGCAGAAGAAGAAAAGTAATATTGAGAGAGCTAAATTATCAATATATATATATTGAGAGAGCTAAAGGCAGTGAGAGAAGTAAGAAGGAAATGGTGATTTGGAGGAAGATTAATATTTAGGTGCCTAGTGGACAATGCCCCGCCAAATCCTCTGCTTCTTTTTACACTGAACCAAATTAACCTACTGCCAGTTATCAAAAAAAAAAAAAAAAAAAGATTGGTTTGAGGGAGCTTAGCATCTAAATTCTTAAAATGAGGACAAACGGTATTAACAAAAGAGTTTTGTCAAATTCTAAAAATAAGGACTAGGGAAGCAAACAGACCGAGAGTTTAGGACTTGAGTATTTAAATTCTTAATGAGAACCTAAAGTGTCAAAATTATAAAATTTGGGAATTGGTAACGCAAAAATCCCTATTTTTAGTTAGACATTATTTTATTGTGATCTGACCATTTAGATTTTTATCTTCTGTGTAAGTTTTTTACACACTCTTGTTGGTTGTAAAGAAACAGTAAATGCAACGGAATTGAATTTTAAAATTTTTACAATCATGCCAAAATATCACATATTAATTGCAATAAAAATTAATCGTAAGCTTGGATTAATTACTTATTTGGCGTACAAATCTGCTAAGTCCGTCATTTTTCTGCACATTGAACAATTCTCATGTCGCAAGAGGAGAGATTAGGTGAACGTTTGGTATATAGATTCAGAATTATGATTTAAAATTATTCTCAATTTATGTGTATTTTTTATGAAAAAAAATTAATATATCAATCAAACGCACCATAATGGATTGGGTATCGGTAAAATTACAACTCCAGCCACTAAGTATCTAAACCCCACTGTGGGTGGTGGGTGTCGACGCATGCACCCCTAGGGATGCGTGCACCACTCCTAGAGTTGCGACATATGCCGCGCTGCCACATGTTGCCTTTCGATTGAACAACTTTCTAGATCAATTTCAACACTGCCATTAATTAAAACTGATATTTTAAATATATTTCATTATTCATATAATAAAATATATGATTACATAACTATTTCATCATCATGTAATAAATACTTATTATGTAGTATTAATTTTGTGTAACAAAATAAATATTGTATAAAAAATATTCATCAATCTAACCGGAGATAGGAAGGAAAAAATTCATTGTTAGCTTTCGTATTTTGTGGAATTTAACTATATTTGGCTGCTCGTTTTCCTTAGTTCGTTGCTTTACTTTTGGGGTCATTTTGCGGTAGAATCTCTTACTGGTGTTGTACAAATCTGACTATTAGATGGGTTTAAAATCACATTAAAAGAAATGTAGAATTTGACAATAAATAAAAATTAAACAGCTGATAACAGACGTACTTGTTGTTAGTGGCTTTATTTGATTCTCTTTGTTTGATTAAAAGTCCCCAACGTATCTAACTTGTTTACTTAATTTCCTCTTGAGAATTCTAGTTTGACATTTCAAAATCTAATTTCTTAATTTGTTTTCTACCTATTAACAAAAACTATTTATTTTGTTTAAAAAAGTACACAACTCTGTATACCAAACACAGTGATCTTTTTAAATTCACATTCTCGTCTAAACGAATCTCATACCCAAACGCCTCATTCGCGTTCTTCTTACACAGAATTAAGAGACGTTTAGTTCGTGAATTAGAATCATGTAATTAGAACCATTTTTGATTTACGTGTATTTTTTGTGAGAGAAAACACTGTAGCAAACTATGAACCATGATTCAAATCATGATTTGAATCTTCTAACCAAACATCCTCTTAGATTCCAAACAGTTGGTGGCAGGAAAAGTGCTCACTAGTCTACTTAAATTAATTAGTTCATACATATTTCAAGTCACACACTTAACTACAATTCGCACAAGTAGTTGACCTACGCTGCCAAAAGAAACGCCACAAAGGTGACATACGATGACATACCAGTTTGATCCTTCAACTGAAATCTCCAAAATTATAGGTTCAAAGTCTCAAACGCAACAGATAATTGAGGCGTATGGTTTTCGCCGTTAAAACCAAACATAACCTTAAGATTTCCAATTTTATCTCCATAACCAATCTGAGGAGAATAACCTATAATCATCAGCCTCAGAAACATTCTCGAAAATACGGGTAGAATTAGTTCTCAAAATCATAGGACTTCCTAAAGCACTCATATCAGATCCAGAACGGAAAACATTCCACATTCCTCTAATTTGATACTATGATATATTGACATGTCGTGCCATGTTTTCCACCTAATTCTGAAATTAAAACCCAAATCAAATCCACACCAAACTTTTGACCTTACAAACTCAGGAAACTAAACCTTTTTTTTTTTCCTTCGAGAAGCAATCAGGAGATTTGTCAAGAAGCGCCTTAATCATGTACAAATACCATCTAGTTAGAAATAGAAGCGTTACTTTCGAGCTGTCTCGACACTTTCAGGTACCTCAATACTACCGAGAAAGAAGGCTGTATGATGGCAACTCTTCAAGCCGTAGCACATCTTCATTCAGAAGCTCCTTTTCAACCTGTCGACGTGTGGCTTTCATCACCGTCTGTTAAAATCACAATAAAGAAGGAAAAATATAGATTACTGGAAAGATAATAGCACAAGAGAATTTTTTTCAAATAAATAAATAATAATAATAGCACAAGGTAACTAGAAAACTCTAAAAGACCCCCTCAACAATTTATACATCCAGATCAATCAAGATTTAGTTGCACTATTTTCATGAGGGAAACTTGAAAGTTGAGCAGCACATACATTAAAATCCATATATGATGCACGCATAGTGAGCCATTGATGGTCCATCAGCTTGAATGTGATGCAATAAAGGAGGTCAAATGCCGACTCATTATCTGTAACGCAAGAGAAGAATAAACAAAATCTAGTTAATAAAAAAGTCCTTGATCAAAACTAAGAAAATAGGGCATTTGCACAATTAGAGTTCCTCTAGTGAATTCAGAACGCAAAAAATTGAAAAATGTGCCACTGACAGTATAAAGAAGCCTAAAATACCTGCTAAAAACTTCAAGAAAGTCGCTCCAACCAGTGTTCGTGGTTTTACTGTATAATTGAAACATGTCGTTAATGAATGGACTTGAGAAAACCGCAAAACATACTTCAAAAGCATAATTGACGAACAATTGGTTATAACTTACGAAGGCTAAACAACTTAACAAGTATTGCTTTCATTATGTAACACAAAATTCTGCAGCAATATGTGAACATCGCTCTTTATCAGCAACAAAGATTACTACTACTAACTACTACCTTTTATAATCACAATAGTCTACTTCTCACCCCAGACACCAGCATGGGTTAAGGATGTTAAATTCTAGGGTTAATCTCACAAATGGTCCCTGAGGTTTACCCTCTATCCCACTTTGGCCCATGACTTTTAAAATGTCCCACAGTTGATCCCTGAGGTTCTATTAGTTACGTGTTAAATATTTAATAGAATTTGTGAAAATTAGAGACTAAAATTAAAAACATCTAAAGTTTAGGGACAAACAATACAAAAAACAAAAGTTAATTTCTACATATAGTCTTTAAATTTTAGCTGTTTCTAATTTTGGTCCCTAATTTTGACAGTTTCCATTAAATATTTAACACCTAGTCAACGGAAGGACTGACATAGAAACCAAGTAAAAACCTTAGGGACTTAACTATGGGACATTTTAAAAATCAGGGACCAAAGAGAGATTGTGGGTAAACTTTAAGGACCATTTGTTGGATTAACCCTAAATTCTATAAACAAAGATGATCTTGAAGAACTTAGCGAGACATGGTGATCAGAAAGTTTCCGAGAAAAAGAGGGAAAAAAGATTCACTTATTCTACCTGATATGTAACAGAGTATATACACACATTGATTATGACATCTAACTTTTCACCAGAACAGAATTGTTACTCAACCACATTGCAAATAACTGAAGCAAGACTAAACATCGCCAACTTTCCATCAAGACATAAAGTGTACAATACTACACTTGTGAGCAAGCATCTGGATAAGCATCAAGACAACAAACCTGCTTCAAGATCAAGCATCTGGATAAGCATGAATGTGATGTTCACACCAGCCACAGCAAAAGGGTATTCCCACACTGATCGATCACCTTCCTGCTTTCGCAGGAGATCCTGGAAGGATTTCTACATTCAAATAATTGGCATTTTTAGTACAAATGGGACGTAGTGCAGTTTGCACATTACAGTTCCAATCTCATAATTAATATGAAGAGTATTAAACAAGTAAATGTAAACATACTAGAAGTTTTGCATCAGCTAATGCCAAACGTCTTAGAAAATAGAACAACTTCACAAAATCTTTGTTGCAATTAAGATCTGAAGCTCTCAGTTTGCAAGATCTTTATTATTCTTCTTTAGTAATTCTGCGTGAAATCTTATAATTTACCACATTATTCAATGTTGCAATATCACAAAACTAGCAGACATAACCTTTTAATTTGTAGAAATGTGAATATTGTTTTTGTAAGTCTACACATTTGTTACTGATCTTAGATATTGTCTTTCAGCTGTTATACTAATCTTAGATAAATCACCTCTCAGGGAAATAATGAACATAAATTCAAGATAACAACTGAAAAAGGGATATACACACAAACCTACAGAGAATATACATATATATATATATATATATATCAGACTTGTGTGCAGGAAGGGGGAAAGAAATGTGAACAATAATATGAAACTACAAAAGAACATACCGGAAAATTTCTAGCGAAAAACAGTAAATTCTCCAACGATATAAATCCACCACCCCTACAAAATAGATCAAACATTTATAATTAGCCGCAAATAAGAAGAAAGTAGAAATAAACTTAGAATGGCGGGTGATAAAAACTGGCAAGTGGCACGAATAATGAGCTATGCAGATCACATAGGCAATGAGGTACCTACCTAAAATCTGTTGACGGGTCCTTCCCTTGCCATCCCATTTCCTTCCATTGCTCAGATATTAATCCACGAAGTTCTTCCTCAGGATAGGCAGCATTCCATAAAGCCCTTAGAGCTTCCTGCAGCAAAGCAGAATAGCACAAAGAAAGAATGTGACTCATCTTTCCAGACTTGTCCACATCAGCAAGTGCATCAGAAATTCTAAGATCATAATTCGTTTGTAATCCAACCATTTAAAGATTAGTTAAGAATTGGGAAACTCGTTTATAATTCAGCCATTTAAAGCTCTAATGATATTATTTCCCAAGAGTCAACAGAATCCGCATCTAAAGAAATACCTGATGCTCAGGGATTGAACTATCATAGGAAACATCTATTCGGTTTTGAAGTCTTTGCAAGCATTCCTCCTATTAAAGGGGAATAATCAAGTTATAATATATGGACATAAGAAGATATATTTAACTGCAAATAACTTCAACAATTCTTGTCTTACCAAGAAAACCAGTAACAAGTTTAAAAATTTCAATCAAAAGCCAATCATATCCCGAAAATTTACATACGCAACAATAACCAACTGAACAGCAATTAAATCCAAATGATTAATCAAAAAGATAGAAGGTGTTGTGTGAAATTACTTGGCTGGCGGTTAAATCAAATGAAGGACGAGCGTCACTCTCCCTCCTCTGTGCGCACACACAAGAAAGACCTCGACCAAGCCATGCAGCAGATCCTGCCACAACCTCGGCTGTAATGCACCAGCTGTTAGCAACATTTTTTCATTTTTTCTAAAATCGTCTTACGCACAACTTTTCTAAGGCTGCACTATAAAAAATTTTGTGCCAAAGCAATGAAGAAATCTTCTTAAGCTACCATCCAAAAAGAAAATAAACAAGAAAAAAAAAAAAAAAACAACAACAACAACAATAACAGTTTGAGACAATAATTTCATATCCACTGCCAAAATAAATGGTTGTTTCACGAGGTTTCTACTTCTTCAATATTTTCATAAAACTCAAGAACTGACGACAATTATTTGAAAAAAAGAAAAAAAAAAGTGTTATTAATGAAACTATGACAAGCTCAAAACTAGTGAGATCATATCATAGTTCCAATTACGAACCTCATGGAGAGGAGATCCATAAAAGTGCTATAAAAAAATAAAGGACCTCCAAAGATTCTCCATCCGAAATACCGGGAGATTTTCCATCCAGACACCAAGAGTATTTCAGATGTTACCCCACCCAACATTTTGTAGAAAAGTAAGAAAGCTCCAATCGAAAATGAAACATACTTCCCCATATACTCCCGATGTTTGAACAAAGCAATAAATTAAGATATCAAGCTGCAAATAAACTTCTCTAATCCAGTTATTTAATTCAACAACAAAAGTCAGAGAGATATATAGATACACATACGCACACATATATAGCAATTCACCCACCACAGCACATTATAATATCAGAAAACATCATTTTGTTGATAAATATCTGTGATAGTTCGATCTCAATTCAAGATCTAAACTGGAATGAAAACCTAAAAATGAAAGAAAGATAGACCTGTTAAACGAGATATAGCGATGAAGGAGGGGAAAAAAGTGTTATAGAGAGAGAATAACCACTTTACAGAAAGAAGTTGAGGAGAGAGAAAGAGGACAACAAAAAGATAGTGGGAATAATTTAGCAAAGGTAACAGAATTAACGGGCAAAGAAATAAACAAAGAAACATTCACAGTGAAAATTAACAATAATTAAAATAAAAAAAAAAGAGAGAGAGAGAGAGAGAGAGGGAGACAGAAGTACCAGAAGTTGAATGGCAAGTGCTGCCTCGATCCAGACCTTGAGAAATCCTCCTCACAGCAACGAATGAGCCGCCACCTCCTCTCTCATCCATTATTCCTTTCTGTTATTATTACACTTTCAACATCAAGTTCACAAAACCCTAAGGAACTCGTCCTCAACGATCCAGAACTCCAAACAAACGGCAGCGAAAACAAATACACATAAAAAACAGGCCAAATCAACAGGAAAACAAGCTTAATCTACAATCTGATTACGAACTGCCCGAACATTGGACAAAAACCTCTAATATTTCAACTCTCGGCCAAAACCAGAACCGAGCAACACCAAAAACCCGTTCCGAGGCAAATCCAAAACAGGAAATGCAACAAAATCCGCCGGCAATCGGAAACCAACGAGAAAGTTATCCGAAACCGCAATCGGATGAACAAGGAGCCGTGAACATCGATCGGAGAAGACAATGGCGAATTACGGCCGGATTCTTGATGAAAGCAAGCGAATTGAGGATCGGAATGGATGCCGGAGATACCGAAAACGAGAGCAAAGTGCGTTCTTGGATGAGAGAGAGAGAATCTTGAGCGAAATGGCTAGGGTTTCTCCAAGATCTGAACCTCCGAAATCGAATCCATCAGAAAATCAGTTATAAAGATTTCTTTCTCTCTCTGTGTTTCTTTCTCTTCGCGTGAGTTTCTCACTCTTTCTCTCTCTGTAGTTGACGTCGTTTTGTTTGTTAGGAGAGAGAGAGGAGAGCGAGCGAAATTGGAATTACAAAAAAAGGCCGGTTTTTTTCATTTATTATTGATTATAGTAATTAGTATTTCGCTAATTAATACGAGTAACGTCCGATATTCTCTCAACTCACTCTTTCGATTTTTTTTTTTTTGTGGATCCCGACAGTAACAGAATTCGAAAAAGTGGGCGGTGACGGAGTGAGATAGGAAAGAGAGAGAGAGAGTGGGGGGATGGTGGATTTTTCTGTTTGTGATGAAAAGGTTGAAAAAGCGGGAAACGCAATAAATAGGCGATGAGCTTTTTCTGTTGCCACGGCTGCTAATGCAAAGGGTATTCTAGCCATTTCATCCAGCACGCTTCATCTGTAAAAGTAGACGACTAGGTTTTTTTTTTTCCCCTTTGTTTTCCGCTAAAACAAAATCTGAAAAAGTGACGAACGTCAGCATACTTTATAGGTGTTAGCGCGGGATGGTAAGGACGGATTTAAGGTGGGTGGTCTTTGTTAATTCACTCTATGAATAAAAATATTTAAGGTTAGTTTTTATAGAGTAAAATTTATAAAAAATTTTAACTCAAGTTATAATTTTATTTAAATTTATGTTTATTTATAAAATTTAAGTTTAAATTTGAGTTTTAATTCGAGTTTTAACTTGAGTTTGGAGTTAAAATTTGAGTTTAAGTTTTCTTTTCAACTCAAGTTCTTAAACTCAAACTCAAATTAATGAATATTATTTTTTTTATTCTTAAAAACGTCACAACTTTTTTGTTTTAATTCTAATTGAGATAATTTTTTTCTATGCGTTCATAACAAAAAGACGAATAAAATCACACCTATATACCCTATTAAAGGTTAGTTTTTATAGAGTAAAATTTATAAAAAATTTTAACTCAAGTTATAATTTTATTTAAGTTTATGTTTATTTATAAAATTTAAGTTTAAATTTGAGTTTTAACTCGAGTTTTAACTTGAGTTTGGGGTTAAAATTTGAGTTTAAGTTTTCTTTTCAACTCAAGTTCTTAAACTCAAACTCAAATTAATGAACATTATTTTTTCTATTCTTAAAAACGTCACAACTTTTTTGTTTTAATTCTGATTGAGATAATTTTTTTCTATGCGTTCATAACAAAGAGACGAATAAAATCACACCTATATACCCTATTAAAATTTTTCATCACCATTGAGTTTTTATTAAAATACTATTTAAATACAATTTTAAGTTTTGACCCACTCAAATAGATTCTCAATTCAAATCATAACTCAAATGCGCACATCCAAATACAAACTCAAATTACAACTTCAAATTATAACTCAAATTCAACTTAAAATCTACACTCAAATCACTATGGGGTTGTTCTTTTACATTTTTGAGTTAGGATGACTTGAGTGATGATCTTAAGTAAGTTTAAGTTATAACTTGAGTTAAAATTGTAACTTGAGTTTGTGTTTAGATGTGCACATTTGAGTTATGATTTGAATTGAGAATCTTTTTGAGTTTGTGTTTTGGTGGGTCAAAACTTAAATTTGTATTTAGATAGTATTTTAATAAAAACTCAATGGTGATGAAAAATTTTTATAGAGTATATGGGTGGAGTTTTATTCGTATTTTCTTTGTGAATGCACAGGAAAAAAATCATCTCAATCAGAATTAAAACGAAAAAAATTATTGCATTTTTAAGAATAAAAAAAATATTGTTCATTAACTTGAGTTCGAGTTGAAGGAAAAACTTGAACTCGAGTTTAGCCCCAAACTCGAGTTCAAACTCAAATTTTACAAAAAAATATGAACTTGAATATAGTTGTAACTCGAGTTCAAACTTTTTCTAAATTTCGTTGCAAAAGAACAACCACTATAACTCAAAAATGCAACCGAACAAGCCCTAAAGTGTACTTGTCTCATAAACTCGTATGAGTTAACGAGTTCGGGATGGATTTCTCCGTCTCGAGTTCGGGATACTAGAAGTACCTCATTTATCTAATTAATTATTTTCAATATAAAATAAATAATTAATTAATTAAACAGTACAACCATACAAAGCATTAAGGTAATAAAAAAAAGAGTTTTAAATTTTCATATGTATTAGATTCTTGAAAGTATATATTATAGCATATTATACATAATATATCTATTTTAAAAATATGATATAATTAAACGGAGCAAATAAACAAATAATAGGGTCAGTGACCTCTAAATCTATTTCCGCCATGCGACTCATGACGAGTTAAGATTTTAACCTCTTACAACTCGGATCCGTTTAAAGCGGATTTTCCCACCCCATTTAATGCGGGTCTACGAATAAATAAAGTAACGGGTAAAATTGCAATCTCTATATTAGTTGTGTTGTTAAAAGAGCTCTCCATATATGTTGACATGAATGTTTTTAATATGGAACAACGATATTATTTAATTTTATAACGTTACCTGTCATAATATACTATAGTTTTAATAGTTTAAATTTTAAATTAGGATTATATTTATCTTGTAGGATAATTTCAATACTTTGGTTTTAGTTTACATTATTAGTTATAGACTTTTGTAAATATCTCAATGACTGTAATTTCATCTATAGAATTTTTGAATGGTTAATGAATATTGATTTTTTCGTTTTTTTATTATTGAGTTCTTATTCTTATCTATCTCTCTCTTGAATCCTCTATTTATTTTCTCGATTATTATTATTCTCTTTAAATTCATTCAAATATAAGGAATTAACCAATATATGGATGGACCTCAATCTTAAGCGTGGACTCACATTTATATATTATATCTTTTGGTTTACTAACGGATGAGATTTATTCGGATATTGATAACTTGCATATTTTGGAGACGTTGAAAATGGTTAAAACAATGGATAACCTTAAAATTATTTTGTAAAGATTCATCGTAATTTAAGAATGCAATTTCGATTATATAGCGACACAAATAAAAGATAATAATTGTATTAATTATAAGAATAATTAAATTACATGTTATTGGAACTTATTTATATATGTTGATTTGGTCCAGTTGCTAGCTCCATACATTTTCTGGGGTATATTATGAAATTTTCTTGATTTTCACTCTTCCAAATAGCGTTGGAACTTTGGACGGGCTGTCCGCGACCGCCCGAAAAGCCGAAATTTTTGCCCGAGCCCGAGCCGCCCGAGAAATTCGGGGCGCCCGCCCGAGCCCGAATTTCACATTGAATGGGCCGCGGGCTTGTATTAGGCGGCCCGAGCCCGCCCGAATTGCCCGAATTATTTAAACTTTTTTTTAATATTAAGTTATTTTGTGTTAAAATTTATATATATATATATATATTACAATTTAAAATTTGAAATGAATACATGAACTATATAAAAATTTTATTTCTTTATTAATTTTTAAATTTATAATTCATGATTATCTCATTAAAAACCTTACCAAGAAAAACCCAATTGGGATAAAAACTTGGCAAGGAAAAAAGAGTGCAATCATATTGTGACGAATTACAAATTTTACAAACTTACAAAGTTATACAATTACAAATACAATGTCAAAGGTAAATACATATTTACAAATTATAAATTTACAATTTAATTTGAAGTTGAAGGATCGTCTTCAAAATTAAATGTTAATCGATTAAATTCATCGATCCATTATTGGCTTGCCGGTGAAATTGTATCTTATAGACGTTGATCGGCTCGATCCCAATCCTTAATGCAAACCAAGGCTTCAACATTAAGTGACTGGGCTTTTAAAATAGAGATCATCAAATAACGATGAAGTTTTTAAACCAATCATTGAGTGACTTTTGATAAATTATTAATTTACTTTGGTATGCAAGTAGAAAGTTACTTTGATATAGAGTCACAAAGAGAGTGAAGAAAGTGGAAGAAAAAAGAGGATAATTAGGAGGATGAAGAGAGATTGTGAACAGAAAAATAGATAAAGATAGAAAGAAAAGTGATATAGAGTAAAAAAACACGAGTATCTATAAGAACAAAACCGGCATTATATAGAAACAACACTTTTTAAAAATAAAAAATAATAAAAACGTGATGGTAATGTGTTTCTTTCCTTGTGTATATTGTTTTTTTTTGAGGAATCCTTTTATCATGTAATTGATTATAAAAAAGGGTTAAGAATGTGAAAACTGAAATATTAAACTACTAAAATAGAAATTTGCTCTTTCTATTAAAGAATTTTGTGTTTACCTTAATTAATAAGTTAAAAATTTAAATAACAAATATGGGCATTGGGTCTAGTGGTATGATTCTCGCTTTGGGTGCGAGAGGTCCCGAGTTTGATTTTTGGAATGCCCTAATTTATAGCAAATAACATTTTCGGGGCGGGCAATTTGGGCGAGTCGGGCATGAACGAAAAAATTTAAAAACAACTCCGGCGGACGGCGGTCGACGACACCTACACGGCGGTGGGCTCCAGCATGGTCTCAAAATTTGAGCTGCCCGAGCCCAAATTTCCACCTTGAACGGGCCGGCATATGGGCCTGCCCATCCGAATCCAAAAAAGTTCAGGCTTCAGGCAGCCCGCCGGCTCAAAATTCCACCACTACTTCCAAATAAATGAAAAATCGACCGATAAGGTTTTCCAATATCGGGTTTTCGCAAATTGATTGTGTTTAGAACACTCGGACATGTGTTTTCGCGTAACATTAATATATTTGCATTACATAACTTTTTATTTTATTGAAAATGGTTCAATAAGATTATGAGTTCAAAACAAAAAAAAAGTCGTGTTTCCCAAAGCTTATTAAAACGATAAAATTAGCCGTCTATTTAAGTGATTGGTAGCTTTTATAAAAGGAATATCATTGAAAAAGTGAAATTCCAGTGAATCATGAAGCCAAGTTAATATGAAAAATAAAAAGTAATGGAAACTCAATTTCTCATATTACAAAATTTTGTAATTTGTGAGTATTGCTTCTTACTACAAAACTTTTTCAGATAAGTTAATTCTCGATCTTTAATGACCGATAAACAATTATGCGAAAAAAACACCTGGAGGATAAAGGGATACACATATGATTTTTATAGATAGGTTCATTCTTGACCTTTTTATGACTGATGAACCATTGAAACTCATAAAATCGATTTTAGGCTTAAATAATGCAAAAGTCGTTAGGTTAGGGACACTTTTTCCTACATTTTTCACAAAAAGAAAAAGAATTTTAGGCATAAAGTTGGCAAAGACAATGTAAACACCATGGAGAAAAAAGATGAGAAAAGGTCACATGGTGTGTAGCAAACATTGGACCATATGGCGTGGTGATGGGTGAGTTCATT